AATAAAAACAAAAATAAACAAGACTCTATATTTGCTCTCAAATAGTTCACAATCTCACATGGGAGAGAGTGACCTCCAGGTTAGTGTGACGAATGCACAAATTCAGGTGTGCCTTTCTGTGTACACCCAGCATCACAGAAAGAAGCACAACCAATGGCTGAGGGTTGGGGCAATAGGATATTTGTGTTTAGAACTCCTCTCAAATATTCCCCACAAAGTGAAAACATCTCTTTTAACTTCCCCTTTCCCTCAAATTTCTCTTTTCACATACCGATGTATGGCTGGAATTCAAAGGAAAATTACACTGTGATCAAAACTATGTATCTAAAGCAGAACTGTCAGCTACTATTATCTATTCTCACATCACATGGGACATGTTATTTTAAGTTGATGTTGCATTCAATTAAGCCCTTATGTCAGCTACAGCATAAATCACATCATCCAGTTTTCCAATCTGATCCATCAAATCACTGACATAACGTCTCAAACAAATGGTTGTTTTGTGCCTATATAAACTCATTGAAGGCAAAGGAACTAGTCTTTTTAGCAGCATATTTTTTACATAAGTGAACTCTTCCAGGTTGGAAAATTTCTCAGTGAAAACATATTAAATAAGCAATACAGAAATGGCACAGAGAATGCTTAACAGCATGATTTCTGTAGCCCTAGATTTAAGTTCAGATCTCAACTTTGCCTCTTCCAGGCTCTGTAATCTTAGGCAAGTTACTTAATTTTTTCCAAGCATTAGTATCCTCACCTGTAAAATGAAAGTAACAGAGTAACTGCTCCCCATTATTATGAAGATTAAACAAGACAATATACATAAAGCATTCAGCACAGTGGCCAGCACGTAGTAGACATTTGAAAAATGGCGATCATAGAGACAGGTAAGAGTGTGGTTTTGCAGGCAATACTGTAGAGTCATTCTGGCATCAGGTTCTCCTGGGTACCATCCATCATCGTGACAGTGCTTTGGAAAAGAAAGTCACTGCAATACAAGCCTGCGAGGGCCACATAGAAAGTGGTTAGGCTCCGCGTGATGCTGGGCTACACTGCTGGGTTCCAAACCAGCTCTGCCACTTATTAACTGTGTGACTTTGGGCAAGGCCCTTTGCCTTGCTGTACCTCGATTTCCTCATCTGTTAAGTAAGGATAATTGTCCCTATTTTGCAGAGTTGTCATAAGCATGTTGTATAAATGCATTAAGGCATGAAATGCTTGGAACTGTTCCTGCTTCAGAGTAAACACCACATGCGTTAGCTATTACAATGATGAGGAACCAGTAGGTGCAAATCAATTGAGATTATTTCATCCCACCTAGAAGACAAGGTAGACGCAGGAGATAACTCCTGGGCCAGGACCCTGACTCTCCTGCTCTCTCTCTTGCCCCTGGTTTTCCGCTTCTACCGCAGCTTTCTGCAGCCCTTTGCTTTCCTGTCCCTGCTGCTTGCCCTTCTTTTCCCCATCACCCTGAGTCCTACGCTTTCTCCCAGACTTACAGGGCATCCAAATCCCTCAGCCGCTTTCTGAGTCAGTCCTGCTTTGCCAAGTGCTTGTGGGGCTGGTTGTCCTGGAAACAACATAAACCTCTCAGAATGAGGCTGGTTTGAGACATGGCTTGGAGGAGTCCAGGTTATGCAGAGCATATAATTTTTTCCTCTCTCTCTTTTTTTTCCAGCTATGATGATGAATATATCTAATTCAGTATTAAGTATTCAAGGACCTTCCAAACATGTTTATTGACCAGAAAGAAACTCCCTGAACAGAGAGGAAGGGAGGCTGAGGTTATTAAACCCAATCTTGCCCACAATACAATTTGTTCATGCCTCACTCTGGCTCTAGTGAGTTCATCTGACCTTTCTTTTGCAAGCTGGGTAAGCCTCCCTTTCAGAATGCTGCCTGGGATCAGTGAGATGGTAAGCTTTGCTCTTAGGGAGGGCTGGATTTGAATCCTAGGTCATCCTCTTGCCAGCTGTATGTCTGTGAGCGAGTCACTTAATCTCTGTGAGCCTCAGTTTTCTTATCCATAAGATGGCAATCACCTAGGGTGGTTAGGATTGAATGAGGTCATATTTGTACAGCAGCTCACTGTTCCATGGTTGGCTAGATGTGCTCTTTTTTAAAACAAAAAAGGAAGGAGAAAGACTCTGTGGCAAAGAGACATGGGTGTTACTTGGAATAAAAAAGTTGGAAAACGACAGAATCATGTATTTTCCCTCCCCCTCTTAACCACTGTTTTTATTAAGAGATCTTAATCAGGAAGCAAAAGAGGAAATCTGGATTATGAAATGTCAACAGTTATCTTACACAGAAGAAAAGCAGAAACATTTTACACTTCATATTATTGACTCTAAGATTTCTGACTTGACAAAATTCCTGCACCAGCATTTTCTAATGCTGTATTTTTCCCACCCAAAACATCTTATCTACAATAAAATTATTCCATAAAACAAGACACAGGACAAAGATGTTCTCTGTTACTACCCAGGTGTCTTGAACTGCGTAAGAGAAAAAGGTGAATGGAGAGAGATTCGTTTTGTTTGTTTGTTTGTTTGTTTTAATGCTTTAACATCAACAAGCATAGTCAAGGCTTCTAACAGTCTTTTAAAATACTTTTATGGCCCTTCCTTCATGATTAATTTGGCAACCAACCCCGGAACCAGTATATACTCCCATTAACACCTAGGAGAGGCCCCACTAACTACTGAAATGTATATTGATGCTGATACGAATAATTAGTGTCTTATGCAGCTAATGTGACACCAGCTGTGTGTCAGGTTCCTGACATACACAGTTTTTAACCCATGCATGAGGTAACTGAAGGAAATTTGATGCCTAAAGAAGTTAAGAACTTTAATACCTTCTTGGGAAATTCTGTGTTTAGGTTTAGTTCTGCAGCTGACAAAGGGAATATTTCTGGACCAAACATTTCTCAAAAATCTCAAATGAGACACTGGGAGCTATGTGAGAGTGGAGGGTAGGAGGAGGGAGAGGATCAGAAAAAACAACTATTGGATACTAGGCTTAGTACTTGGGTAACAAAATAATCTGTACAACAAACGCATGTCACAGGAGTTTACCTCTGTAATACACCTGAACGTATACCCTTGAACCTAAAATACAAGTTTTAGAAGAATAAAAAAATAAAAAGAGAATCTTAATGCATTATATCAGGAGTGTTCAAAAGGTCCCAGAGAAAAATGCAAAAATTATGGAAGATGTAACTTGTAAACATGAAAATTATGGAGATATAAAAAAATTTCACTGTTTAATTCCAGGTACATTTTCTAGATTGGCTTTTATAATCTGAGAGAGCTACTCTCATTAATTAAAAACCATTTTTTTAAAAATTTAAATCCCAGGTGCTTAACAACCCTGACTTTATCATCCCCATTTTTTAGGGAGGCAGCGTCACTTATTAGAAATTTAGTCTTCATATTTTTGTAATTTAGGGAGATTAAAATATGAGCATACAAATTTCATAACAGCAATTTTCATTGCAAGATATTTTTAATTGTTTAAAAAACAAACAAACAAAAACTTGCAGAAATGTTTCCATTCACTTGCTCTTCTCAGGGTACTAGCACAAGTGATCAGGAAAGGAATAAGTCAACATTGATTATTACTAGATCTCACCAATTATTGGTGCCTGTTGCAAGGAATCTTTCATGCTTCTACGTACCTGTGTCTTTTCCAAATGATGTTTCAAAGTACAGCTGGCTAGAAAGATTAGCAGCTGAGGGCCCACTTATTCTCCAGTACCAACTCAGAACTTTCGCCATCACAAATACACTACAAATCCTAACCGAGAATAAATTTGCCTTAAGAAAATGCTGGAGTAATGAACAAAGGTCAGTGTTATGAGTCAGAAACCTAGGCGTCAGAGAAGGAGTTGCTGGTCCCAGCTGTCACACCCATGTGACTTGGGGCAATCGCGAAGCCTTCTGGGTCTGTCTCCTCTTCCGCAAATGAAGGAATTGGGCCAGATGATCTAAGGTCCCTCCAGCCTGAAGTCAAAATGGAAGCAGGCAGCAATGTGTGCTCTTTTACCCCCCTTACAGGTATAACGTTGCAGGCTGGAAAAACGTGAAACCAATGAATGGCCAAAAACAAACTCACGTTTGCTGTTCATTCAATTTAAAAGCTAGGCATCTGAAGGAAGCCACTACATTCAGCTCAGTTCTGAAACAATCGACTCACTAAGGCTACTGTGAGCATATCTGTGTGTACAGATGTGGCCCACAGGATGCCAAGTCCTATGTGTGAATTCACATCCCGGGGAGCTTCCACAACAACACAGCACACACTCAGCATCTGAATAAAGACCAACAGTGCTAAGAAAATTCAATTTTCCTGATACCACACCAGGAAGGCTAAGGCTTTTTCAATACACTAATCTTTAAAATGGTGCATCTACCACCTCGCTGTCACATTACGCAAATTTACTAAGAATTGTGAGTGAAGAGATTTCAGCCCAATAAAAAAAAAAAGATGAGGTTTTTTTACACATCTTCTTCCAAGAAGATAGCCCATAAAATAAGCTGTAATTACTGTATTATTATATCAATTCTTTAATCACTTTTTTTCCCTTCCCTCCCAAAACAAAATAACTGAGGGGAAGGGGGATTTCAATAAAAAAATGAATATTCTCTCCACATAACCTCTATTGGAGAGGAGTATTTCTTTTGACAGAACACATTTGTGTGGCTCTTAAAAAAGACATTCTAAATCTGGAGGGAGTTAGCCTAGACTCCACCTTCCAGACCCTGCCATCTGGAATTCTCAGACCATAAAATCAAACTGTAAGGAAGCCGGGGCTGGATGAGTATCTCCACTTTCCTAACCCCATTCCAACATTCTATGTGCTACCACACTCTCCTATTTCAACCCAATGGATGAGCAGGAAACATTCCTAAGATGAGCAGGTAGCCCGTGGAGCTGGACCCAAGCCTCCCCAGCCTGTGGCCAGTGACACCCTTGTAAATAGCACCTCTGCTCACCTTCTTCACAAGGTAGCCCTCTCTGATCCTCTTTGGTTCCATGCTAGCTGGACAGGCAGATGCAAAGGTCACTCTCAGGCACCTCCTCTCAGCAGCTGGGCCTCCTCTGCGCGCTGAGGTGGCTGTGGGCTGCCTTTTGTACCTCAGATCGCTTTCAAAATTTCCCTTCTGCTGGCGGTCGCATGATCACATCCTCTTCCCCTCAGTGGGGTGGAAGATCAGAATAAGGAACTACAGAGTAAACCACCCATTCTTTGCTAATGCTGGAGAAGACTTATTAAAACCACAGTTGGGTTGAATAGTTACCTAAGGTTAATCCTTACTACCATACAGAAAATCACTCTTTTAAAGGGAAAAAGAAGTGATTAAAGGAAGAGGAAGATGAACAAGAAAAACTAGTTGGTGGAAATTGTCCTGATTAGGGATTATTCTTGAGATCCTGGAAATGCCTAATAAAAATGCCAAGAAATTTAGAACCATCTGGTTAACATAACACAGTTAACTCCTAATTGAGTGCTGGCCAGGAGCGGTGACTCACGCCTATAATCCCAGCACTTTGGGAGGCCGAGGCAGGTGAACCACAAGGTCAGGAGTTCGAGACCAGCCTGGCCAACATGGTGAAACCCTATCTCTACTAAAAATACAAAAACTTAGCTGGGCATGGTGGTGGACACCTGTAATTCCAGCTACTCGGGAGGCTGAGGCAAAAGAATTGCTTGAACTCGAGAGGTGAAGATTGCGGTGAGCCGAGATGGCGCCACTGCACTCCAACTCAAGCGACAGTGCAAGACACCATCTCAAAATAAAAATTTAAATGAAAAAAAAATTTTTTTAATTAATGAATGCCTGCTTCCCTCTATGCCAAGTCCTGTACCACATGTTTCTCAGCCTACCTATTTTAAATTAAAGTAGGCTGCACATAGGCTGGGCGTGGTAGCTCACACTTGTACTTGCAGCACTTTGGGAGGTCCAGACAGATGGATCACTTGGGGTCAGGAGCTCAAGATTAGCCTGGCCAACATAGCGAAACCCCATCTCTACCAAAAATACAAAAATTAGCTGGGCGTAGTGGCGTGTGCCTGTAATCCCAGCTACTTGGAAGGCTGAAGCAGGAGAACTGCTTGAACCCAGGAGGTGGAGGTTGCAGTGAGCAGAGATGGTGCCACTGCACTCCAGCCTGGGCAACAGAGCAAGATTTCATCTCAAGACCAACAACAACAAAAATGAGTCTGCATGTGAAACCCATAGGGAAAGTATATTATTTTCCTTATCTTAGGGATGAGGAAATTCAGGCTCAGAGAAGAAAAAGTTGTCTTAAGTTGATGCTGCAGGTCACAGGGGAAAGCAGAAGACCAGGGAGGAACGCGCTAGGGTGCCACTGACTCGCATCAGGAATGAGAACAGGTGTTCCACATTGACTGCTGATCCCACAGTCAGCCTGTAAGAAGAAGTTCATCATCAAACACGTTTTTAAGAAACACTACATAATAGTCCCAGGTTGGCAACTCTTCTCAATGATGAAAAATTAAAGACCCTCGCTCTGTCAAAGTACTACAGCAAAGAATCCTATAATGGTGTTTCCCAAACTTAGTTGGCCATAGAATTCTTTTTTGAACAATTTCTATTAACATTTTTTGTCATAGATTGAATTTGATCTCCCAAAAAAGAAGTCCTAACCCGCAGCACCTCAGAATGCATCCTTATTTGGAAATAGAGTCATTAAAGATATAATTAGTTAAGATGAGGTCATACTGGAGCAAGTGGGCCCTTACTCCAATGTGACTGCTGTCCTTATAAGAAAAGGGCACACAGAAAACAACCATGTGACAACAGAGTGATGTGTTTACAAGCCAAGGAATGCCAAGGATGGCCAGCAACCCCCGGAAGCTGGAAGAGGCAGGCAACGATTCTCTCCTAGAGCTGCCATTGAGAACATGTCACTGCCAACACCGTGATTTCGGACTTACAGCCTCCAGAACTCTGAGACAATACATTTCTGTTGTTTTAAGACACCAGTTTGTGGTACTTTGTTATGGCAGCCCCAGGAAACCAACACAATTCTGAAAAGCTAATATTCCATAAAACAAATTTTGAGACACGTTAATCTGGCCATGTGAAAATGAGCAAGTTCGTTAATTACTTTGTGCCTCTGTTTTCTCATCTGTAAAATGGGGTTAACACCTCTCCAATGTGGTCATTCTGAAGATTAAATAAGATACATGTGGAAGTATTTAGAAGAGCGTCTGAAACATAACAAGTGTCCATAAATAATAGTTATTCCTCATCTTCAGGGCAAGTCTCCATTATCCTAGAGCTGATCTTTTTCAGTAAGGTCAACAGAGATGATAAAAGTAATCATAGGGCCAGATTTTCCTCATTACACCAGTCAGTGTTCTTTCGCTGCAATCAACAGATAACAACTCTGGCTAATAGAGGCAAATAAGAATTTACTGGAAGAGAATAGGGTGGGCCACAGACTGAAGGAAAAATGAGGACTGGGGTCTTTGAAAGGACAAGAATGAAGGCAGTTGTGGGGCTCCAGGAAGCAAGACACCAAGATGAAAGTTTTGGACTCTGTGGTTGTCTCCAGGGATCAGGCCTCTGATTGGCATAACTTGGCTTAGTGCTCCGCTCTCAGGTGTCTGAAGGGAGAACACGTGAACCGACATCCCCAGGAGGACCATGCTCAATGTGGGAAGGGAGATGTCCTCTAAAGTAAAACCAAGTTGCTGTTAACAGTAGAAGAGAAATGGCTCCTAGGAAGGCAAAACTGACAGACATCCACAACAACATTGGAGGAGTCAGAAAAGTTAGGGGAAAGAAGAAGTTCTGTTCTTGGGGTTTTCTGAGATCTTCCTGATTACCTCTCCTCTTCCCGCCAGCTGTTTCTAGCCAACAGTCACTGCTCCTGTATTTCCCACTTTTCATCTTATGCTAACATACATTACATAAACTTGTTGATGGTTTCTCATCAGTTTCTCATTGCACCAAAATTAATTAGAAATTATTATAAAGTATTGGGTGCTGAGAGTAGAGGAATCAACATTTGATGACGCCTGAGCAAAAGAGGAAGAAATAAAAGGGTAGTTTTCTGTATCTGCATTCAAACAAGTATTTCGCTATGTCTGTAGAGTCAATGGAAACCACTCATAGATTTACCAAGTCTGATTTCATAGCTAAACCTATCTCCCTTTGTTTACTGCCCAAGTGACTCCTAATTTGGAATGTTTTCGTTTTCTCCATTTTTCTTATCCTAGCATGATCGGAAGGCTTTAAAGAATCCTCATTCAGAAACCTCATATTATTTTTGAATACCTACCATGTAAAAGCACCCCCTGCGTTCTGAATAATTCATTTCAAGAAACATAGTATTAAGTGCTTAATATGTGCCAGGCGCCGGAATAGGTGTGGGGTAAAAATGTCTTGCCACCAAGGAACCTCCCGCATTCGTGAATCTGCTGAACAGCACGACTGATGGATTAGATGTTGCCGCCTTTACCCCTCTCCCTCCTGCCACGTGTCATGGCGCCTGGTTAGCGACACCTAGTGTTCAGTAAAGAGAACTGTCTGAATCAATGACGCCGGTTAGGACTTCCTCTCAGCAGTTTCAGGAAGTGTTGTTCTGCTGTGTCAGATCCTCCTCCCAGATCAGATCATTACAACCTCTTCCAATATCTTTCTTATGTATGTGTGTCTAGAAGTCTAGAATTACTTTTTTTTTTTTTGAGACAGAGTCTTGCTCCGTTGCCCAGGCTGGAGTACAGTGGTGCTATCTCCACTCACTGCAACTTTTGTCTCCGGGGTTCAAGCGATCCTCCCACCTCAGCCTCCTGAGTAGCTGGGATTACACGGACGCACCAGCACACCCAACTAGTTTTTGCACTTTTAGTAGTTTTACTATGTTGGCCAGCTGGTCTTGAACTCCTGACCTCAAGTGATCTGCCTGCCTTGGCCTTCTAAAAGTTCTGAGATTATAAGCACTGAGCCTAGAATGACTTTTTTTAAAATCTCTTTCTGTACACATTTGATCAATAACCCTGGAAACATTATACATGTAGTACATTTTATTGCTGTAAGGGAAAGTTAAGACTTTTGAATTAGCAAAAATGATTGCTGAGCATCTCCAGTGGAAAACCATCCATTCTTTACAGCACACCTTTCTCACTTATTTGTTTCTATGGAGTTTGTGTCTTTTCTTGTCTTGGAGTTATTTCAGAACTCTGTAGATTTTAGATAAACACAAATAATTCTTGTCTATAAACATGCAAATAAATTCTGACTTATGGAAGTTCAGTAGACTCCACCTCACCCCACACCCTCACTCCACCCCACCTCCCATGGAAAAAGCCAATTTTGTGTCCATTGGTAAATTAAGTTCAAAGTTACCTTTCTCTATGTAAATTGGTCTTTGACCTTTCCTTTGAACCAGTTGTGACCTCTGGCTAGTTTCCCCTCTAATTCATCAGTTAAATAAAATGTTAACATGTTTTCATTCTATTATATATGAGTCATAGTTTTAATCTTTAAATCTTTTTAAAATTTATTCTTACCATTGGTAACTCAAAAGAGACATTAAATTTAGCTGAGAAATAGCAGAACACCTCTAGTGCTAAATATAAATTAAGTAAAAGATATCAAAACCTGTGAGAACAGTCTACTTGCAAGCTAACAAGTCAGACTGCCAGTTTCATGGGTGCTCACAGAAGACGCACGACTTCTGGAGTTTTGGATGAGACAAAGAACTTTGCTACTCACAGCACTGTGTAGTTGTTAACAGTGATGGCCATGAAGGCGATTGAAGGCTGGGATCCAAGCTGTGTCTAGCAAGTCCCCAATGCCGCACTCCAGCACAAGTCAAGGCTGCCCTGGGGAAGAGGTACCTTTTTCTTGTGTACAATAGTACCCTCCTCCAGTTAAACCCTGTGCTCATGGAGTTGCACCCGCCTGGATATAATGAATCTAAAATTTACTTTACTTTTTATTAGGTCTCAAATGATAGTGGGACAGTGAGAAAAAGGGCTCTACAGAGAATCTCTGATCAGCCTATGCACTGGGAGGACAGGGTGGGACTGCAGGAACTTCATGCCATTTGCAGCAGAGAGGAATTTGGTCTCCTGGTCTCCCCTATTTCTGGGTGGTAACCTGGGATTCAATCTATGAGATGGACGCCTGTTAACAGGAACCTCTCTTGCTTTGCTGAGAGCCTTTTTTCCTTT